CGGATTGATAACAGTTAGAGAACCACCATTGAGAAGCAGCACTGGAGTACTGGATAGCTGTTTCATCCTAGTTCGGGAAACATCGGCAGTACGCACCCACTGGAGTTTGAACCCAGGACCTTCTGGTTACAAGGCAAGCTCGTATACCATTTAGCCACTGGTACCTGATATTAATCCGTGTCAAACTCGTAAAAATATATATAAACATATAACTCAGAGCCACCATTCTAGCTTTCATCAGTCGATAGGACGGGAATGAAACACATCGCAAGACGATGGTCCGTGGTAGGAAGTAATTTACTAACACGGAAACAAGCCTAAAACCCAGTTTAGACAAACCGTGTCTATCTGTGTGTGTGTGTGTGACCGGCCTCAAGTATTTGTCCCATGGGCTCAAATGTCATGAAAAACTAACTCGCTTTCCGTTTCAAGTACTTCAGGAGAAAGTCAACTTCTACTGTGTGAGTAGCCGCAATAAGTAATAAGCGCTCACACACACACACACACATCCAAAAGCACACAAAGCTCTCCTTTAAATCATGTGACAAATGTACACTTCTAAACAATTAATTAATCAGTCTAGCCTTTTAAAAAAGTATATATTTCAAGGGAGGAATTTCCACTAACCTACAAAAATATTTGGATTTGAAACTGCTAAAATCCAATTGAAGGTCATACAGTGATTTAAAAAAACAATCGATTAGAAAAGCAGGATTCCTGAGCTATAAAACTTTGCATCATTTTTTCTCTTTCTTGTTATGAGAGTATTGGTCAAGATGTATTAAAGTTGAGGGGTCATTTTACAAACAAAAATTATAGATACAACAACATGAAGGAAGATGAGTTTTCTTGTTGGAGATTTATGATATCCACAGGAAACAATAATTTTAATCGATTTTTTGTTTTCTAAAACAAGGAAGATAGATATGATGGGTTGATATTTAACCTTTCTTTTAACAGTACTGTTCACTTATCTATGATAATCTTTTGACTGGATTTTAAGTGGGTTGATACGTCATCACATTGCTTTGAATCAAATATCGATAATAGCATAAAATGTCAGGTAGATATTTTCCCATTTAAGGAGAGAGACAATTTGATTGGAAGCTCTTCCGCATATAAACTTCTCTCTTGTTGGCACTGATTCCCATGGGATCTCTTCATTCTTGAGGAAATTAATGTTCGGTGTAAAATTAGGATATGTATCAACTAGTTTCAATGTCGACGGTTTATATCGTGATGGGATTGCTTATAGAATATATATGTATATATATATATATATATATTGACCAGAAAAACTACTGTTATACGTAACATACCACAACTAGATTCCCATGAGAAGACTTTAGAAGATATGGACTTCGCGGATGACATGTTCCATTTCATACAAACTCGATCTAAGGGTGAAAACTAACAAGTTGTCAGAAAAAGCAGCAAAGACAGGTTTCAGTGTTACTGAATTGAATTTTTGATTTTCCCGTCGATTGATTGTACCGAAGTGCTCGGTCTCAGGTTGACATGTCGGCTTCTTGTTCAGATGCCTCGACGATGTCTGGGAATTTAAGTAGTATACAATTGGTGGATGGTGGCTAGCAATGGAATCCAGGATGCGCATTTCGTCCTATTTGGGACTCGTCAGCTGCTAGCCACCATCCACCAATTGTATACTAGGTTTCAGTGTTGGTGAACACTGAACTGTTTGTTTATTCGAACTAGTCTCCATATTAGCGACAGACAAGAAGGTTGTCATTGTGCTTACTCGTGTACTGGTTGGTAGAAGATTGGAGAAATACGATTACAAGTATTGTTGTACATTATATTAATGCTTATTTAAGGACTTTGGCACTGATAAGCCATTGTAAGCAAATCTGTTTCGTTAACGGTTGAAGAATAAACAGTCCTGTTGTCTAACCGTTTTCTGGTATTCTGCGGCTGTTACAGTGCATAGTATTCTGAGTATTAGGCTTAGTATTCTGAAACCAGTGACACGTCAAGGATCTCTGTAATCCGGATATTTGACAACAGGACTTCAAATAAACATAGAGAAGACAGAGGTGGTGAAGATAACCAACCATTAGCAACAACAACAAGCACTAATCACTATCCATAGAAGAAATTTGAAATACGTCACTTCCTTCACTTATCTAGGAGGCATCTTTTCAACTACAGGTAACAGTACGGATGTGAATGTCAAAAAAAGTTGGAAAAGTAAGATAGACGTCCATCACAATGAAATCATTGTGGAAATCTGATGGACTCAGAATAAAGAACGAAATTCCGATTTTCACCACCACTGCTAGGTCAATCTATTCTTCTGCATAGGTCAGAAACTTAGCGCAGGTGTCACGAAAAGCATTCTTAACAGACTATTGCAGACTTCTGTCAACAGCTGCATTCACTGCCTCCATAATGGAGATAAGATGACTTGGCATAAAGAAATATCGACACGAGATTCTGGTAATGAACTAGTCAAGAACCTACTGCCTAACAAATATTCCGAAGATGGCGGAGAAGAACTGAATACGCGCTGAAGAGACCACTGAATGACATCGAGCGCCAGGCCATTACTCGTTTGGAAGACAAATAGGAGACGAAGAGATTAGCGTCAGAAGGAGATATGCAGGGAAATCGTGTCAGGAGGATACGGGATCTTTTTTGAAATTGTGAGGTTGTCTAAAGAGGAACTTAGGGAACAGAAGAAAATGGATACGCACTGTCGAAGCCGTATGTTCCACTGGGAGTCCAATGGGGTAATAATAATAAAAAATCGCCAATAAATTCATAATTTATATGTCGTTTAACAAACGCTACATATAAGAGTGGAGCAGTTGATAACAACCTACTTGATAAGTAAACATTTCTTTGCTTAATTTGCTGGTTTCCTAAGAGAACAGACAACTAATTCAATAGCTCCACTGACTACCGATTCACATGCATTGAAAACTCAAAGAAGAAAAACTATATTCGCTTTACTCATATCATTCTGTTGTGATTAATTGAGTTCCTGACAGTGAAACTGTATCTTGTACTTTTATTTGTATGACTAACTGACTGAATAAGTTTCAGCAAAGAACTTTGCACAGAAGTGCATTTGTTCAATTTACCACACTCTACAAAAGCACAAAAAGGTAGAAGTGTAGCGGTAGATAAACGAGAGACTTGGTAAGGGAATATTTCATTGCGTTTGGTATCTCTATTTAGCTGCATTACCTACACCTTATCTTCAAAGCACCACTTGCATAGATAGTCTTCCGTGTTGTGATACTTCTGGCCTTCCCTCATATTGTGTTTCTTTGTGTTCCTTTCACATCAAGTATCTCCGCAACGCTGTAACATTATTTGCTTTTTTGACATCAAAATTTATTTCCCTGATATTTGATGTTTCTTTCAGTGCCGATGATAATATATTATAATTGATATGCCTTATCTGTAGTACATGCCCAGAGGAACGAGAGGAAAACAGAAATTCAAGGGAACCCTAATGATCAAAACTGTTTGGGAGAAACAACAGTAACCTTGAGAAACTAGATAGTTTAATGGGTATGGCAGGTTACAAAGAATGAAAGCAACAGTTTTGAGCCATATCACCAATTGTCTCCGACAATTGGTTCTTATTATCCCGAGGACCCCAACCAGGCAATCTACACCTCCCTAAGTAGCTAGCACTAACTGCCAAAGATTTCATGAACTGATTCTAAGTTTTGATTTGACCACCACTAGCTCTTTTCTTTAGAGAAAGACAATGGCTAGGCATGCGTAACACATGTCCTAACCAACTCACTCAATGTAGCTTCACAACCACATCGATTGACTTTGCCTCCTTACTTAAAAATCAACACTTAACCACAATATTACTCACCCCCATCGTACCAATTAAAGTGGGAGGTAGAATGCAAACGCCTGGGGTCGAAGACAAGTAACTTTTAAATATCTTCCATTTTCATTTGCCATATCCTACAACCATAAAGAGTGACACAGAGAATTGATATGTTGTGCAGCACACACCCCTATGATCGATAACCACTCGGATACAACATCTACACCACAAATGGTGTGAATTCTGCCTCTGTACAACATGAAAGTCTAATTATCATTGAAGTTTCTCAGCTAAGAACTTCTTCAATCCACAGAAGTTATGACAACTTACATAATGTGATTTTACTCAGTGTAATCTGAAATTGTTCCCTCTGCATAAGATTTCAAATGTGGTTTCCAAAGGGTTATAATCGTACCCAAGATTATGGATGATAACAGTTCTCACATGGAGGGTTTCAAAAAGGCAAACCACAATCCATAAAAGTGACTAAAGTTTGATTTAATTTCTATAAGTTAACTTATGAATAAGAACTACAAGTGTTATATGTGAGACACGTTACATACATGTTTAACCTGGTGATTGATTTTATCGTTGAACCTTGGTACTGACGCTTCGACAGTATCTGAGGATTAAAATAATGTTATTTGATGGATGTTGACTAGCAGTGATTGTATCCAGAATGCGTATTTCGTCCTATTTAGGATTTGTCATCTGGATGTACCCTCAATCCCCAAAGAATGGTGGTGTTCCCATTGGAAATCGAACCCTACACCCATCGTTTCAAAAATCAGTCTACAATTCACCAAGCCACTAGGCGTGTCCAGCTTATCAATACAGAAACCGAGCATTTCGGTTGAAAATAATCGATCAACGGGAAAAACAAAATTAACGAAAACAAGTAATTACTGATACGTACTGCATAATGAAGTGTCTTTCATGGCCTAAATGGCTTAGTAGATAATACGTTGGCGTTTGGGAACACCATCACTCACTGGGGATAGAGGGGCACATTCAGTCGATGAGTCACAAATGGGACGAAATGCATATCTTAGATTCCACTACTAGTCACCCACTCACTACATACTCTCAAAAATTTAAGGATAGACAGAAACATTACTTATGTATATGTATAAATATATATACTCATATAGAATTAATTAATTATACGTGAAATAGTACTCACCAGCACTGCCGAGTAATGATCCAGTACAACTGAATACACTATGATCACATATTTCTCGCTTACATAATGTCAACAGAATAAAGAATAATGATATACACAGGAGAATACATCCAATCATACTGATACAACCAGATAACCAGATTATATTGTTGGCTATAGCAGGTTTAGCACCAAATCCCCACATAGATAATTGACACTTTAACAAACTACCATCATATAATTCCCAATTCAATATATCATTATTATTATTATCATTATTATTATTGAATAACTTTAAACAGGTACTTTGACATCGAAACCATGGTCCAATAGATGGTGGTGTCAACTGAATCATTTCTCTGTCTGATTTATTATTATTGTTATTATTATTATGCGTATAAATATATGGACATGTTGTTAAACGACGCGTTTCTGGTGTTTCAATACGTATTAACCAATATGGACTAAGAAAACTTATAATATTTATCAGAATAGACAGGAAAGAGCATATAATCCATATTAAAAGTACCCAGCTTATAATAACACGTGGCATAGTGTTGATTTGATAATTCCTAAATCTTTATCATATGTGTCAACTCTTCATTGTCATTGTGGACCACATCAACAGTAGTTATAGTCCATTAATGTCTGATTATTCATGCTTATTCTTACGGATAAATCTGTGGCATTATAAATCTTTCTCTCACCTAATTCGTACAAATAACATTTTTGTTTTACTAAAGTAACCAATCAGCGATTAGCAAATTTGGACCAATGAATGACGAATCATATGTCCAAAATACGTACGTACAGTTATCAACATAGTTAACGAAGGTAATCCATTTCACAAAATATAAGCCATATGTTAAATCGATTATTAGATGCTGTATTATTATTATTATTATCTGGGAAACATCATTTCAACTACAGTCGGAACGGACGAAGATGTCAAAGTCAGAATCGGAAAGGCAAGATACATCTCCATCAATCTGAAACCAGTTTGGAAATCTTCTGTTTTACTCAGCCAGTATGAGGAACAAGATTCGGATTTTCAGCGCCAATGTGAAGTCGGTCCTTCTACATAGGTCAGAAACTTGCCGTGCGTATCACGAAAAGGATTTCCAACAGGTCACTGCAGACTTTCATCAACAGCTGCGACCTTCACTGACTCCATACTGAAGATCAAATGCCCGGCCAGAAAGAATAAGCAACAAGAAGTTATGGGTACCAACCAACATGCAAGAGCCAATCTCTCAACAAATATGTGGGAAAAAGTGGAGATGGTTTGGGCATACGCTGAGAAGGCCGCAGAATGATATCGCACACCAGGCCCTCGAGTGACATCTCAGTGGGGAGCGCCGAGTGGGTCGTCAGTGTGAGGGTGACATTGAGGAGATCGTGTGGTGAGGAAAAGATGAGAGAGTTCGGTTAGTTGGGATCCAGCTGAAGAGGACGGCAGAAAACAGAACAAAGTGGAGATGTGTTGTTGAAGCCGTATGTTCCACTCGGAACCCAAGAGAATAATATTAATAATTATATATTATATTTTAATTGATTTGAAAGTATGCATGCAGTGATGCTCCAAAATTACTTTAAAATAGAAATGGTGTAGAATATGTGTTGTAATGGAATTAACTTTTTGGAAAATCCCTCATGAACGGACCATTTGCAATACTGAGACTTATTTGAACGCTTCAATTAACTTTGCAGTTGTTATTCTTCTTTCTCCTGGACTGTATATCATTGTTCTGACTTTTTTATATTACCCACTGGCTTAATCCATATTATTTATCTTTGTTCTTGTTTAATTTCTAATTTTAATGCTTCCCTATGTGGTTGTGTGATAATATTGATATTGTTTTATGACTTGATTTTGTTTGACTGTCTGGAGGAATAGTTGGTGGTGATTCTTATGGACAGAGTTTTGATCCCACTTGGTTTCGAATATTCTACTTTATCCTCAAGTACTTCCTAAGGTTGATTGTGTTCTATAGGATCTGTTGTAAACGTGAGAAATCTTGATCTGTTAGGTGCCTAAAGGCACCTTTGGGGATAGTTTTGACTACATGGTATCTTAGTATTGTTGAATAGTACTGTAGATTTCATCTCAGAAAACCGTCATTTAGCTGTTGTTGGAGCATTTGTGAACGAGCGTATCTCAATGAAGTTCAGTAGAAGGTAAAACTTGGGTACTGTGGTAGAGTACAACTCCAACTCGCACGAAGATGAGTATTTTAGGAAAAAGGCTCAGCGATTGCACGGCATGTATTAACACACAACCACACAATACGGTGGGAGAGGGTTAAAATTCTAAGAAGTCATATAGGTGGGCGGAGAGAGAGAGAGATTGATTATTGAATCCTGCCTGGTACATCGAGTCTACACCCTACACATGCAATAGAAGTGACTCAATACAAATACCAGAAATATGGAAGATATTATTACTACCAGTCAAATTAGAGGATAATAAATAATGTTAAAATGTATTTCAATTCACATTACGACATTCTAACAAGTTACTTATTTTTACTGTAAAAAGCATCTTATTTCCCATGTTACTTTATCTTATTGATAACACTAACATTATTTCTGAGTGTACATTACCTTATATTGATTTCATTCAAATATTTAATCATCAATTTTGAGTTAAGGTCATGTAGCTTATAATATGACTGTTTTTATGAAGAAGTCTTACCCCAACTTCCAAGGTTTAAAATAATGTGTTTCCGTTACCTAGCGTCTTCATTTGTGAGTATCATTACTGAACTTTAATTCAACAAGAGACATAGTAACTCACAATATCACTAGAATAACGACACGTTATATGATTGACTGACTGGTTTAACTCGTGAAACAGAGCATCAGTTCAAGCTGACACACGTGCCAGGAGCAAACATAGAATTAGAAAAATAATATGAGTAATTGTTATGTCTGCAGTGAAGTGAATAACTCCCGTCGCCACTTTGTTATGTCTGTGCCTGGTAATTGTAAATAACGGCGATATACTCGGCTGGTACGCTAATATGCCAATTTGTTGGCTGTACCTCCAATTTCACTGAGCCATGCAAATATCAAACGACAAAGGTTCGCCTTTGACTGTAAGATGCCGTAATGTACATTCATTGGGAAAACGAGGCATGATATTTATACATTTTTACCACAACCGTGAAAAGTAATTGATCACACAATAAATCCCAACATGCGTGAGAAATGATGATATACTATTTTATGCGGGATCCTATCAATAACAAAATTTTAATAGACAAAAATGTAGGGAAAAGAGAAATATTCAAAGAAAATTGGTGAAGACCATCACAATTTGAATGATCGATAACATGTCTAACCTTCCAAAACAGACGTGTTGGCAACTGAACTCAGGAAACCGATCTTTGCGTCCCACTGTAAAGCTCATCAAAGCTTTCTTGAGTTACTCTCTAGTACAACATGACCGAACGACAGCAATAAGACAGTCATGAGAGATAAAATTTACGGTGCTATTTGACAGTAATAACATACCAAAAAATTAACGTTACCTCAACAATGCCGTCAGGCAGCTATAAAGGTCACATAAGTTTCTTGAGTACAAAATAGCTGGGTGGTTAGCTGAAATCCTCGAACCAGTCAGGGGGCAACTATCTAATCATTCCCTTCGGGACACCTTCCAATTTGTTGAATGTATACAGGATATAAATGCGTCGAATAAACAAATGTTGTCTTTGGATGTAGAATCCTTATTTACGAACGTTCCACTGACAGAGACCATATGTTTTATATGCAAATATATTGAAGACAACAAATTGAACATAGGGATACCTACTACAGATCTTAAAGAACTACTTTTGAGATGTACATTGAATGTACAGTTTACTTTCAATGAAACAATCTACAGGCAGAAGGATGGTATTGCGATGGGTTCTCCCTTGGGTCCTCTCCTTGCAGACGTTTTTATGTCCAGTCTAGAAAATGGTTCCCTGAAGCCTATGATCCAAAGCTTTCAAATATATAAAAGGTATGTAGATGACACCTTTATTATTTGTAATATTGATTGTAACCTGAATAATATATTAAATGTATTTAATGAGTGCCATCCTGCGATAAAATTCACACTCGAAATGGAGAACGAGTCTAGCATTCATTTCCTCGATGTGAACTTATCAAGAAGGACCGATGGAACTCTGAAGAGATCGATTTATCGTAGGCTGTTATGGAATGGTCAACTGACAAATTTCTATAGCTGGGTACCTATTGGTCGAAAACGAAACCTGGTCCGGTCGCTTGCCACTCGTATTCGGCGCATATGTAGCACTGATACTGTGGAAGATGAGTTATACACTTTGAGGAAAATCCTAATGGAAAATGGATTTCCACCACGTTTTATAGATAAGAATATACATTCAAAGCCTACAAAACGTGACTTATCAACCGCTCCCAAGAAAATACTTTACATGAGCTTAGAATTCAAAGGGGACTTAGCTTCCGATATCATGAAACGAAGGATATCACAGTCCCTGAAAAGAACATTCCCTGCTGCCTCTCTGAGAATAGCTTTTACTAGCCGACCATTATTGTTCAATAACCTGAAGGACAAGATCCCAATGTTGACCAACTCTATGTGCGTTTATCAATTCACCTGCTCTTGTGGAGCTAGGTATATCGGTCGTTCGACTCGAGTTTTGTCCAAGAGGGTGCAAGAACATTATCCTGCATGGCTACGAAAAGGTGGAAGTGGAGCAATAAGAAGCGCGATCATAGAACATCTGGTCGAAAATGATCACCCTATCTCTATAGCCTCCGCCTTTAAAGTCATCTACAAGGCAAAGAGCAATTTACCTAAATCCCTACGTACCCGACTCATCTGTATTGCTGAAGCTTTGGCTATCGAAACAGAAAAGCCAGATCTCTGTGTACAGAAAAAGTTCGTTCAACCCCTCCAACTTTCATGGTCTTAATCCCTCTATGCTAAAATATGATAATCCCCAATCATATTTTAGCTCTACCAATTTTTCATTTTTCATTTTGTCTATTCAATTTGTATACTCTTCCTTATTAAGTCAATTGTTATTATTACTATTCTCACTTTGAACTGTCCCCGGTATTATTTCACTTGTTCCACTTGTCATTCTAAATCAATTCTTTTTACAACGATAAATTCTATGCTATTAAATTTCACACAATATTACGTAACGTTTTTGTTTTATTCGATTTGCCTACTAATCCTATAATTGCACATCCTTTTTCAAGTTCTATCCCTCCTATGAATTATTCTATATATGACATTAATCTGCTTTGCCACTTGACATTTAACTACGATTATAATCACAAACATTTTAGTTTTAATTGAACTTCATATGATTATTATTATTTTGTGCATTCACACCTAAGATTCAATTCCCTCACCGGATATAACTTCTGATAAACCATATATATACGACTGTACAGCTTGATGATAAATTCGTTGAAAAGAGTCTCTTCGCTGAATCACTTGTTTTGATTTTCTAAATGTTACAAAATAAGTATTGTAGAACAAAATTAGTTAAACGAAGTTCAACTGTATCAATACCTGAGAATCAAATAGAATATTTGGATAGCATTACTAGAACATGGAGATTATCTGAAAAGTAATGTGATGTATTTGCGCTATACATTTCGAACAATCTGATCCCTCACACATTTACTTGTCAAG